TATATATATATATATATATATATATATATATATATATATATATATATACATACAAGGGTGCTTGAAATTTTGTGATGTCTTTATAATTTTCTATATTTCTGCATAAATTTGATCTAAAACATCATCAGATTTTCACACAAGTCCTAAAAGTAGATAAAGAGAACCCAGTTAAACAAATGAGACAAAAATATTATACTTGATAATTTATTTACTGAGGAAAATAATCCAATATTACTTATTTGTGAGTGGTAAAAATATGTGAACCTCTAGGATTAGCAGTTAGTTTCCAGGTAAAATTAGAGTCAGGTGTTTTCAATCAATGGGACTATGATCACCTGTTTTATGTAAAGAACAGGGATCAGAATCAGAATCAACTTTATTGTCATTGCACAGTTAAGTACAACAAAATTACATTCCATACAACCGTCTGAAGGGTAGACAGAAGTGTGCCGGGGCTGCAGCTTCTATGAAACGCTGCCCTTATCGCTTAGATAAGAAAAGGGGAAGAAAACATGAGGAGAGCAGGTATAAAAAAAGATCTCTCACACCGTATCCTTGCACACAGGGCACAGTGTAAGGCAGCAATAAAAGCTACCTCAGCACAAAAGCAACATAGACATAATACATTTGCGTGGGGGGTACGACAAGATGGTGAGATTGTCCATGTACACTTCCAGATAGTTTCCATAGTCCTGAAATATGTTACAGTGTCTATCAGCTGGTACAACTCTGATAGGGTCCACAGATGTTCGGGTGTGTGTGTGTGTGTGTGTGTGTGTGGGGGGGGGGGGGGCAGAGTTTCTTGATTTTCATATCCACTAGGAGCAATTTGAGATAAGTTGGCTGTCCAAGGCCAAGTGAAGAGGCCAGATTCAGATAAACTAGATAAACTACAATTGTTTTGGGCAGGCCGACTCTACTGATTTCATGTCTGCCTTCAGTTCTGCTGGTATACTCAATGGTGACTCCAAACAGCCAGATTTGTGGACATTCTGCTGGTCCATGCTTGTTAGTCTTCTTCAAGGTCAGTTCTTTCATGCCGGTGAGTTCTAAGCAGTGGCGAGTGGCCTACGATTCTCAGAAATCACGTCCAGCTTATGGTTCAGCTCGCAAAGCATATGAGTCTGAGCACTCAACGCACAGTGCAATCCTTCACATAAGGCAGGCAGCCTCACCATTGCCAAAACTGCTGCCGACGTCTTCCTAATTTGTCGATATCCCAGGTATCCGCCGATTCCAAAATTCAGAAACCCGTTATCATATATCCAATAATGTATACGTCTTCTAGGTCCTCAACAGACATTACAGACAGACACATCATCTTCCATTCACTCCAGGAATCCATGACATATCCAGCTGTGTGTGTCCCTTCAGGGCATGAGGGTTCTCATGGACCCTGTCTCTTTGTTGAGAAAATTTGATCAATTGCATTGAGCGACCAGTTGACCAGAATTTGCGATTCGCAAGATGTGTAAAGAGAGGCTCTGATACACAGGACAAAGAACAAAAGCAGAAGGAAGGCAGGAGAGGGAAGAAAAGTGTTTGTCTTCATCAAGGACAAGTCCGAAGAAATTTCAAATCTATCAGAGTCTGCTCTTCACAACATGTTTGTGGATGTGGATCATGGAGGAACAAAGGAGATTTCTGAGGAGCTCAGAAAAAGAGTTGTTGATGTTCATCAGGCTGGAAAAGGTTACAAAACCATCTGTAAAGAGTTTGGACTCCACCATTCCACAGTCAGTCAGATTGTGTACATATGGAGGAACATTAAGACTGTTGTTACCCTCACCAGGAGTGGTGGACCAACAAAGATCACTCTAAGAACAAGGAGTGGAATAGTGGGCAAGGTCACAAAGGAGCCCAGGCTAACTTCTCTCTCACATTGACTGATGTTGATGTTCATGAGTCCACCATCAGGAGAACTCTGAACAACAATGGTTCATGGCAGGGTTGAAGAAAAAAACAAAACACTGCTCTCCAGAAAGAACATGGCTGCTCGTCTGCAGTTTGTTAAAGATCACGTGGACAAACCACAAGACTGTTGGAAGAATGTTTTGTGGACAGATGAGACCAAAAGAAAAGTTTCTGGTTTAAATGTTTGGAAAAAGTAAAATTCCTGCAGAAGAACACTATCCCATCTGTGAAACATGGTGGTGGTAGTATCATGGTTTGGGTCTGTTTTGCTGCATCTGGGCCAGGATGGCTTGTCATCATTGATGGAACAATGAATTCTGAATTATATCAAAGAATTTTAAAGGAAAATGTCAGAACATCTGTCCATGAATTGAATTAGACCTCAGTGCTGCATTTGATACAGTTGATCACAATGTTTTACTACAGAAGTTTGAATATGATGTTGGAATTACAGGAACGGCTCTAAAATGATTTAAATCATATCTATCTGATAGAGTCCAGTTTGTAAATGTAAATAATAAATCTTCTTCATACACCAAAGTTAGTCATGGAGTTCCTCAGGGCTCAGTGCTTGGGCCAATACTCTTTACTTTATATATGCTTCCATTAGGTAAAGTTATTAAACAGCATGGGATAAATTTTCATTGTTATGCTGATGACACACAATTATATTTGTCCATTCAACCCAATGAAGCCAATCAGCTACTTAGACTACAAGCATGTCTTAAAGACATAAAAACCTGGATGACCCTTAATTTTCTCCTGTTGAACACAGATAAGACTGAGGTTTTGGTTTTTGAACCTGAGCACCGTAGGAATGAATTTTTCAGTCTTTCTCCCTCCTTAGATGGCATTAATCTGTCCTCCAGTTCTGTTAAAAATGTTAAAAATCTTGGTGTTATTTTTGATCAGGACATGTCTTTTATCCCCCACATTAAAAACGTTACTAGAACCGCCTTCTTCCATCTGTGTAATATCACTAAAATTAGAAACATCTTATCTAAAAATGATGCAGAAAAACTGGTTCATGCATTTGTCACGTCTAGACTGGACTATTGCAATGGTTTATTATCTGGATGTCCAAATACATCTATAAAACGTCTTCAGTTGATCCAAAATGCTGCTGCCAGAGTCTTAACTGGAGTTAGTAGGAGAGATCATATTTCTCCAGTTTTAGTTTCTCTCCATTGGCTCCCTGTCAAGTCCAGAATATAATTCAAAATCTTACTTCTAGCCTGCAAAGCCCTCAACAACCTGGCTCCATCTTATATTACAGATCTTATTGTTTGATATTTTCCAAACAGACCACTTCGCTCTCAGACTGCAGGTTTACTTGTGGTTCCTAGAATTTACAAAAACAGAATGGGAGGAAGATCTTTCAGTTATCAGGCTCCTCTCTTGTGGAACCAACTTCCAATCTCTGTCCGTGAGGCTGACACATTATCCAGTTTTAAAACTAGGCTTAAGACTTTCCTTTTTGCTAAATCCTATAGTTAGGGTCGGCTTGGGTTTCCTGAGATGCCTCTTAGTTATGCTGCTATAGTCTTAGACTGCTGGAGGACAAACTGACCACAATTTTCACTCTACTACTGTCTTTACTTACTCTGCTCAACCTGTTTTGTATTTGTAATTATTTTTTCTATCCTTAACATGTGTTTTTTTTTTGTCTTTCAGATACACCTGGACCTATACCTGGACCTACCATTCTGCGTTCGTTTGTCTCTCCTTTCTGTCCTCTCAACCAGCCGGTCAAAGCAGATGGCCGCTTGTCCTGAGCCTGGTTCTGCTGGAGGTTTCTTCCTTTTAAAAGGGAGTTTTTCTTTCCACTGTTGCCACTGTGCTTGCTCAGGATGGGAGACTGTAACAAAGCCAAGATTCAACGTGTCTGCTGGATTCCTTAGATAGAGAACTTTACTAATTGGCTTTTATGTATGTGAATGTTCCTGTAAAGTGCCCTGAGACAACTTTGTTGTGATTTGGTGCTATATAAATAAACTGAATGGAATTGAATTTAATCTAAGAGAAGGTGGGTCATGTAGCGACAATGACCCAAAGCACACAAGTGGTTCTACCAAAGAATGGTTCAAGAAGAATAAGATTCATGTTGTGGAATGGCCAAGTCAAAGTTCTGACCTTAATCCAATCCAGATGTGGAAGGACCTGAAGCAGCAGTTACTGTGAGGAAACCACCAACATCCAGAGTTGAAGCTGTTCTGTACTGAGGGACAGTCTAAAACTCCTCAGAGGTGTTCAGGTCTGATCAGCAGTTAAACATTTAGTTGTAGTTACTGCTGCACAGTGTGTGTGTGTGTGTGTGTGTGTGTGTGTGTGTGTGTGTGTGTGTGTGTGTGTGTGTGT